GTTGTGGACCCTGAATCGGGTGGCGGTGTCAGATTCGTGCACGAGGCTGATGCGAACAAGGGAGTGCTTGCATGACCAGCAGTCAGGTTGGTTGCACTAGCTGAGGAACTCATGTGACCGGGACCGGTTTCGGCCCACCATGCGTCGAAGTGCGGCGGATCCCCGTTACTCGGAGATACTTTGGAGATAGGTGGTACGGATGGAGGTGGCGGTGCCATGAAATCGTCCACAACTGGAATCGGTCCAGTGGTAGTGGTGGTCGTGTCACCGAAAATGTCGAATGGATTGTTTGAACTGGACGGTACGTGCGTGGTGGGTAGATCAAACGCTGCGGCCCAATTATTATCCACTGATACGCCGTCCATCCCGGAAGGTTTGTCTGATGGGGCTATATCTGGATTGGTGGTCACATTGAAAAAGTCGTCCACTAAAGCGGAGACGTCTGGAGTTGTTTGTGGTAGTGGATCAGAGGGAGTGGGAGCAAGGTCGACGTCAATAAGTACATTGGTTTGTTCTAAGGGAGGTGGAGGTGTCGGTGAACCACGACTGATCAGAGGATCCGGGTTCGCAGAATTAAATCCAAGCAGGTCAGCAACCGGAGTAGAATCCTGTATGGAATGAATCATACAAAAAGGGAAGACCAAAACGCGATTAATGGAGTCCAACCCATCGGATAAACAGTGCATGTGCATGAAGACGTTTAACCATCATGTACGCGAATAAAGTAAACTGACGGTTTCCCATTTTCATACATATTTGCGTTTATTTCAAACGACCAGAGGCTTCAGTCTCAAAAAATACCCGACTGGTACGGGTTTAGCTGGTGTCATAACACACGCTAACGGCTCACACGAATGCCGACACGAGCTAGAATTGCAAAGCAGGCGCCTACAAGAAGCACAAATTATCGATTTTGAAGCACATCAAGGCAGCAGGTGACACGAGTGATTAGATTATGTAGGCTACGTTAGGTACTTCAGCTAGAAGCTGCCTAGCTTCAACGACATTCTACTCACCATCACTTATCAGCCCCGTTTTGCATTTCCAGGTTCATCACTTGGCAGCTCCGACTGCATGCCATTTTCAATGGTAAAAGTACCTGACTCGCACCACTGGTTGAGGTCGAACCAAGTCTGTAGCCGTCCAAGTTATGAAATCTAGTGTACAGTATGGGGTAGCAACGGTAGCCGAAATCAAATGTACCTCGCATCTTAGAACTCTTTTCGCCGTTACGATCATCTGGACAAAGTAAACCCAGTATCGGACAGTTTGATCGTATAATTGAAACTGCCCAAAAATATCTAATTTACGATGATGCGTGGTTGTTCATCAAGGCGTTTCTCAACCGGTCCGTTTTTTTTAATTATTGATATGATCTGATGTTCAGTAGGAAAGATAAACGATGATATCTAGAAAAAAAATGCGATTCAATTGTTTCAGACAGAATATTTTACAGTGAGTAGCATCTAAATGACTAGGCCAAGTTTCCCTGGAAGCACATACGTTGACCTTCTATCAGGTCATCTATATACTTTGGTAATAGGTTGTTCAGCTGCATGTGCACAACGAATAAATCTGTACCCATTAGCATCTATCCGTTTGAGTACTACTTTCATAAACACACGATTGAATGACGGAAGAAGATAAACCCGACAGAGATAGAGCTTAATCTGCTTCCAGTTAACGTCATGCAGCAGTGGTGATGAAAAAACAAACAAACAAAAATCGATCTGGTCGAAAAGACTCACAAGCGATTTCGATCGATACGATTATCTACTAGCAATCACACGTATCACTCACAGGTGACCGATCGATTGCAGACGGTTCGTCCATTGTGTAGCGATGATCAAAATAAGCAACGAAAAATATAAATCAGTGATGCTCCCACAGTATTCAATTCTAATTACATAGTTTATCCTCGACTTTGTAACGACTTGGAGTGTGGATCTTGTCCTCTTATATCACTTTCTCTCACTCAATAGGCTCATCCAAACTGGCGTGACTGCTCTTATTCTCTTCACCTACATAGTTGCGCAGCTCCAGATGAAAATTCCTTTATGCTTCGTCAATCGAAGCCTCCTACGTGATCGATCAATCCTGATTCGCATTGATGGGATCCCTCTATGGTAATCCCAATGAACCCCATTGTCTCAAAGTTTCATGCTTTCTCTCATCCATTTTCAAAGATAAGCTTTCGCTTAAATCCCTTATTTTTATCTACGCCTTTGCGAACGGTGGTAAACCACATTCTCGTCTTCCATATAAACCACGACAAAAGTATTGCACTGTGGGGGCCACACACACACAATAATAATAACAATAACAGGGGATTAGGATACAGAACAAAGTGGAAACAAAGTGAAGCACTTAAACACGCGAAAATAGCAGACAGTTGGGATAACAAAAAAAATTTGTCTTTCAAGGTACATTTTTTGATATTTTTTGTGTTGTTTGTTGTTTTTTTACGGGGCACGGGATTTCGACAGGCACACCATACAGCATTTGAGCCATTGACTTCTATTCTGGGTCGTATCCCTCAGCGTCTCTAACCAATGACAATCTTTATCCCTTGGGCCCCAACCTGGAAGGCGGGTTGTGGTATCACCTCATGGCTGTGTTGCTCATTTCCGTTATTTGCTGTACTCTCAAGTACCGAATCAATAACTAGCGTTTTGAATGAATGTAAACGTCATTGTTCAATAATATGTGATTCTGGGCTTGCTCTTATATTACACATCAAGCTTGTGATGTACTAAAAACAGGTTTCGAGAAGTGTATTTGCTAGATGTGAGCAGCTGTACAGAATTGAGTCGTATGCAGTCGCATGACATCTCCACTGCAAATCCGTGCTTGATTCCTTGCAATGTTATATAAGTCCGTTTTTAAAACATATGTTCGTGCAGAGTTTTATTTTTCTATTCATCTTCTTCCGATAGCACTTAAATTTTTGCATAACAGAAGCCTGCATTAGTTGACCCTAGGCATTTCATTCCGTCAAAGATGTAGAAGGTCAGTCGACCGTCAGGCATATCTGCGCCCAGATACTGTGTCATCGGCTTCCAATCATTTCTGTTCTAAAAAAGCATAACACAATCAAACATCCACATTCGTTGCATTTCTTTCTGGTTACATTTTTGTTCAATTAAAATGTACAGTATCATTGTAGGGACCAATGGTGAGGGAAAATAAAAGTATGCAAGAATAGCTCAAAAGAAGAGTGCAGACTAAACCTGTCTAATGAGGTAACAATCGCGAAAAATCTACCTCATGGTTCTCGAACAATCTTAATTACACACAAAAAGCTCGTACGCAAGCGTGAAGTAAAAATTAGAAGTGGGAGGTATCAGTAGACGGGTATTTAGGTCGGATGCATGAACTTGTGGTGATCGTACAAGCTATGTTTACCTTCCGTCAACAATTAGCACCACTTCAAACGGATTACGTTTGACCATAGAGCTAAGTCGGTGACGCTGAAATCAATGTGCATCGCATCAGACCAGTGGTGTTAACTTCATCGGACTGGTGAAATTGGTTCTGTGTTGTCTTAAATTTCCCAATCCCGTCACTGTTTAATTACGATATCTAGATGTTTGGTTGTCTGTTTATCTATCGATGTGTGGTGACTAGAACGAAAGTAATACAGTACAGGTTGAACGTAGAAACCCTGAATGGGTTTATCGGAATTGGGGAATGTGCGTTGCCAAAATCAGGTGTCAGTTCAATAGATTAGAATGAATTGTCAAATCCGGGTTCATCAATGAAAAACTGTGAAGTTTCAACGCTAGAGAACAACGTTAAATGGTTGTTTACATTTGATTATCCCAAACCACCACTGACCACATCAGTGCAACGGCATAAAACCATCCTTTTCACGTTATGCTTTGCAACTGAACTGTGATCTCTGTAAGTGATGAACCCTATTGACTTGCATCCTTAACAGCAAAAAAAGTTGTTTAGATTTGTACTTAGAAATAGATGAATGCAGGGCGACTAAAAATAGTTATTACAGAGATTTGTGGATGAGTATTCTAATCTTGAACAGCTGGACTGAGACCCTGGTATACAAAACGAGCAGCGAAACTGTAACCAGAAATCTAGTTGGCGTGAAATGACCAGATGTTACAACCGTCAAATTACGTCACCCACCTAATTTTCACATTTAGTTATATGATATGTCCAACCCCTGATACTTATGGTCCTATCGGTTTCATGGGGATAGAGTTCAGAAGTGCTCTTTGAAAACTGAAATGCACCACGAATTGCGGCTTTCTGGGTGAAAGTGAACATCATGACACGATGTATAGCAGATCCCAGAGCGGAAATGTTCATGTGCAACGGCGTTATTCTTTTTCAGAAGTGAGACAGGATTATTCAACAATATGAAA